CAGAGCATGAGGACTCAATGAATGGAAGCTTCCACCAGTCCAGTGACCTTGGGTTTTTGAAGCTGACAGAGCAGAGAAGGAATCATGTATCGACCACGGTATTACTAACACCCACCAACAAGATTGCTGAGTGCATTAAATCAGTATACATGTGCAGAGCACATGGTAGGTGCTCACTAAATGCCAGCTGGCATCATTTCCAATCCCCAGAGAGGGGGAAGTATAGCATAGTGGGAAGGGCACGGACCAATGCCAGATCCCTTTGGGCATGGCTCCTGGTTATACTAGCTGTGAGTGACCCTCTGCAAATTACAGACCCTATTTGTGCTTCGGCTTCCTCATCTGTAAAGTGAGACTAACAGTAGTACTTACCTCATGGGGTCATTGTGAGGACCTAATGCATTGTGCAAGGTGGCCGGGCCCTGGTAACTATCTGTAAACGTTGCTATCTTTGCCACCATGCATCATGCCCAACTTAGGGCAGGAGCGCGAGGGTCACTAGGATGACATTGCCTTTTGCCAATGTAAAAGGGGGCCCTAAGCAAGGTGGTGACTGACCAGCGTGCCAATCGGGCTTCCCTGCTCTGGGATCCGCCGCCATGTGTGTCCTCTCCACCTGGTTTCTCTGCCTTAGCAAACCACTCGGCTCCCTCATTCTCAGACTGGATCTTGGCTGACCTTTCACAGCATTGGTGCTTGTAGGGTGTTCCCCATAAACAGTGAGTCTGGAGTTCCTAGGCAGTCACCAGAAGCAATTGGGGGAAACCTTCTACTCCAGTTAAAAATTAGACTCCTACCCTTGCCCTTGAGATTTAAGTTAAAGTTAGGTAAATTTAAATTACCTAAAAGTAAGTATTTTTAATCTCCTTTCTCTCCCTTGGGAGGGGTTGGGGGGCAGAGCAGGGGGCTGATGTTGATGTGCACTGAGTCGCCCAGATACTGCCCAGGTTGCTGTGTGGGTGGGAACCTCGCTTCCCCTCTAGAGTCTTCCACCGTATGTGGTGAAGGTGCACAGGTCCACAATGCTATCTGGTATATGAGGGAAGGTAACAATGATGTGTGAATGTCCAACAGTCACTGTGAGGATGGGTCAGTGGGTCAGTCCTCCATGGTGCCAGCTACTTTTACTGTAAGCAAGGAACATGAATCAGCAGTGGGGTTTCTCTTGAGTGACCTCTGGAAGGAAAAGATCCAAGTTGGAGTCTAAGCAGGAGAGGAAAAAAACTGACAAATAGGGCAGTGAGAAACCAGCTATCCTGTTTATTATGTGCCTGGTACTTTTCATATGTTTGCTCAGTTAATGCATAAAGGAGCCCTTGAGATGGATTCTGATTGGTTGGCATTCCCATTTGACAGAGGAGGAAAGTTGAGGCCAGGCGAGGGGCTGGCTAAGAAGGGTGGAGCTGGTCCAGATATGCCCTGCTCCAAAGCCCCTGCAGAGCACCTCCAGCAGGCCTCTTGGGAGCATCAGGGAACCTCTGAGGCTCTAAGGGAAGCAGGCTGTCTGAGTATGCATGGCTTTTTGGAGGACAGTTTTGACCCTTTGTTAAGTGGACTGGCCTCCTCGTAGAGACTCTTTTGGATGCAGAAGAGGAGTGGGCTTTGGACTCCGGTCCTGGGTTTGCATCTTAGCATCTCATTAGCTGTGCCTCCCGGGGCAAGTTACTAAACCTCTCTGAACTGCAGTGCCTGCCTTTACGAAGGGGATCCTAAGACCTACCATGCTGGACGACCCCGGCAGTAAACCTCAGACAATCTATGCAAGCGCTCTGCACATGAGAATAAGGCAGCCAGGGCCAGCCCTGATGGAAACGATGTGGAAAAAGGGAGAGAAGCGGCTCTGAGCCGGTGGGTTTAGTTCAGTGGGTTTGAATCCTGACTCTGGGGCCTCTGCAGCCATTAGGCTTGACCTGCCTCAGAGAGGAGCCAACAGGCAGGTGAGGGGACCTGGTGCTACATGTGGCCAGACTGCCCCAGGAGAGGGCAGACCAAGGGGCCACTCCAGCATGACCCAGCCTCCGCATTGGCAGTCAGCAGGGAGTGCGTCGTTCAACTTGATCTCAAGGTTTCCTCTGCCCTGGGCCTTCCCGAGGCTCCAGGTGAAGACATGGCTGAAATAAAATTCTTGTTAGCTCAGCCTTGCAGTCACTTGGAAACTCAAGCCCCACCCTTGGAAGGGGCTCCTCAGGGACTGAAGGGACCAACTGAGGCAGGAAACAGCAACCAGGTGACAGAGTCCCCGGGCTGCTGCTGCCACCATGTACAGGTGTCTCAGTGGGATTTGGAAGTCCTTCTAGGCCTCAGACACCTGTGCTGTGCTCCTCCTCTCTGGGCCAGACCTTTGAGGGCCTGCCATGTAGAGAATAGAGGACAGGGAAGCTCCCCACTTTCACATGCTCTGGCCCAGAAGGGTCCCTTGTCCTCTCCTACCAGGAAAGGGAGGTCTGTCTGTCAAGTCCTGGGGAGAAAGCTATCATTGCTTGATGGTCTCCTCAGATCCTCTTGCTGCTGTCAGATTCCCGAATACTCTGACTCCATGGTCAAGCTCTCCAAGGTGACAGACACAGGCTTAGAAGGGAATGCACTTTGCGCCAAGTGGTCTGCAGGCTGCCACCTGAGAACCGAGGTCAGCTGAGAACCTGCTCTGCCTCCACCTTAAATCAAAGACATGTATTGCTCCCACACGCACCCCTCCAGGGGATGTTCCATAAGGATACCGATGACTTACGCTGGGGGTGACACACAGCTCAGCAGTGCTCCATGCTCTCCATTTTTGGGACTTGATCCATGTGCCTTGATAGATCCCTTGTTCCCCCTAACCCCGTCTGTCCTCACCAATTTGTCTCTTGCAACCCCTGGGAACCAAGCAGAAACTAAGAGGTATTTTGACAAGCAGTGTTCTCAAGTAACTAAATGAAACATACAATTGAGTTTGTAGGGTTACAGATTGGCTGGATTTGGTGAAAGGTGGTTTAAACCCTCAAATGGAAATAAAACCAAGATCCTCTATAGCTCATTGGGAAATGTCAGCTCTGATGTCTCCACGAGGGCCACCTTCTCTTAAAGCCCTTTGCATCTCTCCAGTAACCCTTGGCGGACGGAGCGAAATCCCAAGAGACAATGAAGAAGATGGCCTAGCCCTGTCTCTGGTGGCTGGCAGGTGTTGGTTACTGAGATTTCTGGCATAGGCTGGAGGACAGGGCTATTTCTAGACATGGGGCTTCCCCTTTCGGTAAGGGTCTCTATCTAGGGCTTCTTAGGGTCAGGAGCAAAGAAGAGGAAGAGGCCAAGACACTTGCCTGCATACTGGTGAATGCATTCATCCTCTGAGGACTGATGGCCCTCTGTAGCGTTCCCAGTCTCCTCCACACACACCTGTCTCCCCAGGTTTCCAGGAGATCCAAGCCCCTGTTTCCAGGACCCAGTGTCTCATCAACCCCTTTCCTTTCTTTCCTCCCAGTAGTCACAGTTGCTCCCATCCCAACCAGCTTCTGGCCACCAAATAGCAGGCACAATTGTTCTCCTCTCAAAGACCCAGGGGCAGAAACATGCTGGACTTGGGTCACCCAGAGATGTCTATTTATAAACCATCCCGATAAGCACAATCTGCTCTGCTCAGCCCAGGCCACACTCCACAGCAAAGCTAACATCCCAGGGGCAAACGGAACATTTCCTGTACCAGCCAGACTGGAAGAACCAGCCCAGACTGGGGTTCCTGAGCCGGTCACTGGTACTGAAGGGTCTAGCTGTTTTAACAGCTGGAAATTTCCCTGCCTTTTTTGTGTGGGTACCAGATGACCCATCTCAGGGAGTGTTCCTGCACAGCAGGGGTCAGCACACTTTTTCTGTAAAGGGCCTCACAGTAAATGTTTCGGTTTTAGCTGGCCGAATGGCCTTGGCCTTTGTAGCCATGGGCAAAATGCAAATGAACACATGTGGCTGTGTGCCAATAAAACTTTATTTACAAAACCAGGTGCCCAGCCCGCAGCTGTGGTTTACCAGCCACGGTTGCAGAGGGAATTCAAATGCTGGCAAGTTGGACCTCATATAACAAAACCATTTGTTTAACCTACTCTCTAGGATTCCTATACTTAACGGGTTTTAGAAAATACTACTTCAAATACAGTTTGTTATAATTGGGTTAGATGCGTTGAAAGAAGTGGTCTATAATTTAGTTTTAAAAAATAGCTTTTATTTTCTAGAGAGTTTTAGGTTTGCAGTGAAACCGAACAATTTGGTGAAAGGTACAGAGATTTCCCATATTGACCTTGCCGCCCCCTTCCCCATACGCGTGGCCTCCTCCATGACCGACGTTCATGGGAGAGTTTCCAAGTCCTAAATCATAATTTTTTAAGGCTCTCTAGTTTCCCACACCTATTCAGTATTGTTCTCGAGGGATCAGTTCTTCTCCATGAGAAAGGAGAGATACGATTTTAGGTTTGGCCCAGTGTGAATCTGGTCGAGGCCCCGTACTCCCGGAGCGCGCGCCCGAGCGCCCCACGACCCGCTGTCCCCTCGGTCCTGGCCTCGCACCGGAGTCTCAGGGTCAGCCCGTGGCCGTGGGCTTGCCCCCATCCGGCCTCGGCTCGTCCACGGGCCGCGTGTGGGAGCGAGGAGCCCGACACGCGCGAGGACGGAGTCCCCCACGTCTGCGCCGGGGCTCCTGGCGGCCGGCCCCTCGGCGCCCCACGCGGACCCGGCCCGGCCCGGCCCGAGGACCCGCGCCCCAGGACCCGCGCCCCAGGACCGCGCCCCAGGACCGCGTCCCAGGACCCGCGTCCCAGGACCCGCGTCCCAGGACCCGCGCCCCAGGACCGCGCCCCAGGACCGCGCCCCAGGACCCGCGCCCCAGGACCCGCGCCCCAGGACCGCGCCCCAGGACCGCGCCCCAGGACCCGCGCCCCAGGACCCGCGCCCCAGGACCCGCGCCCCAGCACCGCGCCCCAGGACCCGCGCCCCAAGACGCCCGCCCGACGGCCCCCCCGGCGGCCGCCGCCTACCTCCGCGCGCGTCCGGCTGCGGCTCCTCCGCCTCCCGGGAAGGGCGCGGGCGGGACGGACCCGGCGGCCTCCCCTCGGCCGACCGCGCACCCGCGCCGCTCGGCCCTCGGACCCGCGCACCTGGGGAGCACCGCGCCGCGAGGTGGTCCGGGCGCCGCAAGGTCATGAAGCGAGCGTCCCCGAGTAGGCGCCCGCAGCCGCCAAGTGCCGCGCTCGCTCCCGGCGGGGAAGAGGCAAACAGTCCGGCCGCAGCACCCGCGTGGTGTCGAGTAACAGTCAGATTAAACAAACAGCCTCAGCAGCTATTTTTACATCCAGACCGGCCGCGGGTAACAGATAACTTGGGGAGTGAGCAATGGCTTGCCGCTGAGCTGGGCCCTAAGCGTGAGCCCAGCTTCGACCCCGCGTGGCTTCCTGAAGCCATTCCAGCGCTTAGATCCACATACAGACGTCCCGAGGTGCGAGGTGCGGAGGGCGACCTTTGTTAGGGAGCCGTTAAAGAGCGCGGGGCGAGCGCCTGGGAGCGGGCGCCGAGCCCTGCTGACGGCCCGGCCCGGGCAGAAATAGCAGGTGTCCTCATCCCCGCGGAGGACCGGCCGCATTCCTCGAGGAAGGAACTGCGCTCGCTGGGCCTTTGCAGCAAAATAACAGGCCCAGCCACAGGCCGGGGGAAGGCCAGGCTGGGATGTCAGGGGGAGAGTTTCAGAAAGATGGGAAGTAATCGGGGAAGAGGCAAGGTAAGTGCCCCCTTGGCGAGCCCGGCTGCAGCAGACCCCGCTGTGCGCGAGCCCCACGTCCTAGGGGACAGGTCTTGTCCCGCCAGCCCAGAGAGCCCCTCTCAGCTCCCGGCGGCCACTCTCCGTCTTGGCTGGGGCTCACCTGCTCTCCATACTGCCTGCAGACCCCCAGACTTCTTCCTGCCTCTGCCTTTGCTCATGTTGTTCCAATCCCTGGGAGCCCCCCCCCCCTCCCCAAATCGGCCCTGTGACAGTCCACTCACTGCCAGGATTTAAGGCAAGAGTTTTTGTCTTTGTTTCCAAGAGCCCTTTCTCGTGTTCCCCTGCCTGGTAGCCTGGAAAAGCAGGGGTGCTGGTCCCTGCCAGGTGCCCTGCTATATGAGGTGCTCAAAGCCCCTGAAAGTCTGCACTGCACTGTATCTCCGTTATCTATTCGTGAACTGCTCCTCCTCCACTCCCTGGCCTTGTGGGCTCCTCATGGCCAGCAACCTGTGTCCCAGCCCTAACTCAGGGCCTGGCACCACCTCCAGCCTTGAATCAGCTGGTAACCAGGGTCACAGGGACCCGGGTCCATGCACTTCAGTTTGAAACAACTCAGAAAGAACAGTTCCTTGTTCCCTGCAGACAGAGGGGCCAGACCCCAACCAGCAGGATTATCCGGCCCCTTTTCTTCCCTGGAGCCTTGAAACTTGCTTTTTGCCCCTGAGCACTTAGGACCTGACTCCAGGGACACCTACCCACTGATCAGGACTCAGAAACAGTTTGAGGGAGGCTCAAACTGAACCCCCCGATTTTACCCCATCCCACCACCCACTTCCTTTGCTTGTCAAAACCAACACTAGCCAACCTGGCCAATGAAAGGAATCAACCTGAGGTGTGAGCCACTGTTAAAACAACACAACACAACACAACACATCACAACACCAAAGACTCGGAACCCTGAACTCTTAGATTTCCTAGCTATCTGACACCAGCCAAATCACTTAACCTCTCTGTGGCTCAGTTTATTCATCTTTAGGATGGACAGACTGCCTCAGCTCTGCTGGGTTGAGGATCAAATGAATTCATGTACACAGATATACTCGCATATTGCAAAGCTTCTCAAATGCTAGTCATTTGGTTTTTTTAAATGATTTTTGCCACACCTTCACCCACCCATACCATCACTTACTATGTTTTTGTAAGAAGAATGTAGATTGACTTTTTTTAAAGATAGAGCTTTGCGGTAAATAGCAATCCCTGCAAAAACATAGGCTTGATGTCCTGGTTCATTTTTTCCCTCTATTACGCATTGAAACAAATTCATAGCCAGTTCACATGTTATCCGTGTATGACCCAAATCATTTTGTTCCAGATTTTAGGGAAGTCTCCATCATTAAACCCCATTTTATGGGGGAGTTTGCTTTGGAGTGTGAAACCATTTAGCAGGGCCCTGGTCTTCCTAACTTGCTTTCCTCCCGCTCCTTAGCACATTCCTTCCCCAGCTTACTTTTAATTCTTCACAGGTAGAGAGCCTGACCACATGTCTGGTTTGGGTCCTAGAAGCCGTGAGCTTTGAAGTGCAGCAGGAGCTGGCGGTGTTTGCTTGAAGGGGCTGTTTGAGGAAAGAAAAGCAGTAGGGTGACCCAGGGGACTTTCAGGGGGCAGGACCGTGGCTGGCAGCTCTGTCAGCGTCAGCAGGAGGGGTCGGGAGAGAACAATAAAACACAGTTGACCTGCTCCTGGAAGCAGGAGCCCTCAGAGCTTGGCCAGGGGCCCTGTCTGGTTCGCCTGACCACAGCTGACCGCTGTAGAACCTGACATATCCCAGAATGTGCCCTACCTACCCCATGCCATGGACTCTGCATCTGGTTCCATCTCGGTGGGCACAACCGGTGTGGATCACCCCAGCACGGAGCACCGCCAGAGACCTCAGCCCCAGCTTGAGACTGGGAGCTCGAGAGGAGCTGGCAGGCTTCCAGGGCCCAGGCCCAGGCAAAGTGACCACTCTCTCCCAGTCCAGGAGCCGTGAGCTGCGTGGAAAGAATGTGAATGAAGACACGATTCTAAATGTAGAACCATGGACGCTATGTGAGCTGGCTCCCTAGTCATCCAGAAAAACAAGACCTGCATGTATATTCTGCAGGAGCATAAATAAAGCTGTCCTCAGGCGGCGGGCTACGGCATCCAGACCTGGCAGTGATGTCCCTGGCCCCAGCTCGCAGCAGAACCCCGGGAACATTGTGGGAAGGGCCCTCCTGCCCGAAAGCAAGTGTGAAAATGGCCTTGCTCTGGCCTGGACGTACATGGTGCTTACTAACCTAATTCTGCAGCAAATCAGCTCTGCTTTGCATCTGTGTTATTCAGGAATGTTCAAAAGTTGGTAGCGAGAGCCATGCAGAATTTCCAGGGCAGGGTGTTTGAAGCACATGTCTCTGCGAATGACGGGAGGCATTTTCCCCAGCTCTTCCACTATTGTGGTTACACCGGCCTGCTCATCAGCAGGCCCCAGCCCACTCTTCACTAGCGCTCAGCCTTCTTTAGGAGTTATTTGCAAAAAGTTCTGCAGGAGGGTGGAGCATTTCCTGGGCCTAATAATAACAGCACCATAATAATGCCAGCTAGCACTTACAAAACCTTTACTCGAGGCCCTGCACTGTCCTGAGCCTTGACCTAAATTAACCTAGACGCTGTACGCTCTTTCTCTTAGGGCCTGGCGCCATGTTGTTCTAGCCCACAAACTGCTACCTGTCAGGGAGCTAAGCAAAGACACGATAAGGAAACCAGTAATTTCCCGAGTGTGCATTATGTGCAGGCACTGCCTGTGTGTTCTTTCATGAATCCTCGTGATATCCCAGTGTTGATGTCTGTTCACACCTCCACTTCTGAGCAAACTGAGGCTTGCAGTGGTCCTGGATGTCATTCAGTGAACTGAGGATGCAGATGAGGGTCCCTCTGTCTGCCTGTCCGGTGTGTCTACCTCTGTTGTGCCCCCCTACCCCCGACACTGTCCCAGCCCACATCCAGGGAGCATGGCTGTCTTCCATCCACCTGGTTTCCTTGCCTGCCTCTGGCGAGAGAGCAAAGTCTTGCCAGGGCACCTCTTTAGCTACTGATTTGTTATGGGAACTGAGGGGATTCTGTACCTCAGTGTCACCACAGTGAAAGTATATCCTCAGGGCTGATGGCAGGATGAGATGTCACTGTAGGAGGATACTTCTGGAGCTCAAGCCTTGCTGGGCTACTCACCTGCTGAGGGCTTGGAGCAATCAGACCCCTCCCTTCAGATGGATTTTCTTACCAGGAACCCTGAGTTGGCTCCTTTGGGAAGGGATGTTACATGATAATGTGTGCCTAGCTCAGGGAGGCTGGATTTATGGAGGTGGGAGGGGGGCATCCTGTTTGCAGCTCACAGCTGGAAAACAGACCACTGGCTCAGATTGCTGGTACCCCCTCCCCAGGGGTGTTGCTCTTCTAGCCTAACTAGCCCGGTGCCAGGATGGTAGTGTCATAGTCCATTGAGAGTCACCTGGGCTGGGGGGTTCTCCTTAAGAATTCTCTCCTTGAGGGGAATCCCTGAGTGGCGCAGCGGTTTGGCGCCTGCCTTTGGCCCAGGGCGCGATCCTGGAGACCCGGGATTGAATCCCACATCGGGCTCCTGGTGCATGGAGCCTGCTTCTCCCTCTGCCTATGTCTCTGCCTCTCTCTCTCTCTCTCTCACTCTCTCTCTCTCTGGGACTATCATAAAAAAAAATTAAAAAAAAAAGAATTCTCTCCTTGAGAATTCTTTGCTTAGGACTTTCCAATGAATGATTTCAATGCAAGAAATAGAACCTGTGCTATGAAATGAAGTAAATCCAGTTTATTAAAATGCTATCAAACACCAATGAAATCCTGGTGGCCAGCTGAGAGGTCAGCCACAGTGCATGTGGAGTTTATATAAGTCATCTCTCCTATATGGAGGGATCTGAAAGTCTGGACTCAGAAGGAGCAGGGGGTGAAGAGGTGTGCTCTACTCTTTAACATGGGGTCCATAAACTTTTTCTGTAGTAGTCTAAGGTAAAGGTTGTCAGCTTTGCAGGCCAGATGGTCTTTGTTACAACTGCTCAGCTTAGCTGTGCAAAGTGGTCAGAGATGATCTGTAAACAAATGGGCATAGCTGGGTTCCAATAAAACTTTATGGACACACAGATTTGAATTTTATCACATATCACAGAATATTCTTGTTTTGATTTTTCCACTTAAATATGTAAAAGTCATTTTTAGCTTATGAGACTATACAGAATTGGGGCAGGACAGATTGGCTCATGGGTCTTAGGTGTCGACAACTGTGTCACTGAGTCCCCTTTGGCCACCGCCAAGCATGTGTGGCTTATTGGCACTTGAAACCTGGCCAGTCTTAACTGGGACATGCTGAAGGGGGTAAAACTATGCACACTGGATTTCCAAGATAGTGCAAAAAAAAAAAAAAAGTCCCCCCTGAAACAAAACAGAATGTGAAAGATCTCCCTAGTCGTGTTCTGTATAGAATAGTGTGTTGGGTCTTGTGTTGATATTGGCTTTAATAAAATATATTATTATTTTTTAAAAAAGATTTTATTTATTTATTCATGAGAGACATAGAGAAGCAGAGACACAGGCAGAGGGAGAAGCAGTTTCCTTGAGGGGAGCCTAATGCGGGACTGGATCCCGGGACCCTGGGATCACCCCCTGAGCCGAAGGCAGATGCTCGACTGCTGAGCCACCCAGGCATCCCAATAAAATATATTATTAAGATTGTTTTCACATATTTCCTTTTATTCTTTTAATGTGGCTACTGGCAAATTTAAA